GGTTTGTCATTTCCTTCTCCAGCTCATTTACAAATGAGGAAATTGAGGCAAACAGGATTAAACGATTTGCCCAGGATCACATAGCTAGTAAGTGTCTGAGGTCATATTAGAATTCAGATCTTCCTGACTCCAGGCCTAGTTCTCAATCCATTGTACCACCTAGCTGCCCCTGTGCATTAGGAATATTAATATGGAAGCTGTGTAGAGGATGCTTTGAAAATAGAACAGAATGGGGCAAGAAGACCACCCATGAGGTTCTTGTAGTAGTACAGATGAGAGGTGATGACATCCCCAGTAGCCATGTGAGTGAAGAGGGCGGAAAGAATGGAAAGATGTTACAGAAATAAAATTGACATGATCAGGTAACTAATAGATTTGGGGAGGTGAGTGAGAACTACAGAGCCTCAGAAGCTGTGAATACAAATAATTTGGAAGGATGGTGATCCCCTCAGAAATAGGGAAATTAAGACATGGTGGGTTTCCGGGGAAAAGATCGTGATTTCCGTTTTGGATGTTTTCAGGTAGGGATGCCCTTGGATATCCAGGTGATGATGCCAGTAGGCAGTTAATCATTCAAGGCAGACTGCTTGGACTTTGTAAATGTTTGTTCATTTGATTATTTGAACTATACTCGAGTAAATAGCTTAAAGAAAGATGATAATAATCAGGATACAAAGTGGATCCATGATTTCGTTACTATAAAAAGCAACCCCTACCAAAGTGGGTCAGACACTGACCTGACACAGACCATACCTGGTCCTTTGCCTATAAATCTTTATATGTGTATGACAGTAGCTGGGCAACAGAGTAGAGCATGGGGATCAAGAAGACCTGAGTTCAAATCCTGCCTCAGACACTTAATAGATGTGTGACCTGGACAAGTCACTTAACTTCTCTGTGCCTCAGTTTCCTCATCTATAAATTGAGGATAATAGTATCATCTACCTCACAGGGTTGTTGTGGGGTTCAAATGAGTTAACATACATAAAGCGTTTTGAAAACTTTCAAGTGATCCCTAAACCAACATCATCATCATCATCATCATTATTGTCATTGTTATTATTATATCTCTCAACAGTAGCCAACAGTGTCTTAAACAAATTTTCGTGTCAATAAACATTTGTTGAATGAATGAATGAATGAATGTTGTTCCCACTTCCCAGGGAGTTTTGTTCTTAATGAATGTTTGATGACATTTATCAGCTTTGTGACCAGGGATGAACAAATCAATTAGCCTCTAGGGGTCTTGTTTCTTTATCTGTAAAATGGGCATAACATGACTTGTCCTATACTCCTCGAAAGACTGTCTTGAGGAAAGTAACAAAGAAATGTGAATGACTACTTTAATCTCCATTTTTCAGCTAATCAAATATCCCCACAATCTAGGGAGGAAATGGGTAAAGGAGCTCTGAGCTCTGCTCTACAGCAAGAAGGAAGCATTGGCTCTGAAGTCAGAGATTTAAATCTCTTGCTTACTACTTGAGTAACCTTGACAAGTCACTTAAACCTTTTGAGCCTCAGTTTCCTTATCTGTAAAATGGGAGGAGGTAGGCTTGGGTTACATGAGCTCTTTTCCAGACCTGTGACTGATGCTACATTTGACCTTATAATCCTGTACTTGACTTACTGTCCTCCAGTCATTGTTTCCTTCCTTGGTTAAAAACATAAACTGAAGTCCAGTCTACTTTACAGAAATGATTGAGAGATCATTCATTTTTTAAATTAATTTTTCACTTATATAAGTATTTTTATAGAAAGCAAATGATATTTTTGATAGTTTTATATCTATTTTTACTCCTTTTTTCCTGTATTTTCTCTTTGAAAACCTGTAACTGAAGAACTATTTCCCATTGCCTCTATCTCATATACGATGCTTTGTCATTGTGAGGCTCAGAAATACATCTTTTTCTGAAAAATGAAAGCTTTGAAGATCTACAAAAGGAAGAAGTGGAGAGACCGTGTGGTCCTTTCTGATAGATAAAAGTATAAAAAGAATGGCTAAAGTTACAAGGTAGCAATCTTGACAAGGTCCCCTTAAGAGTCAAATTTAATCTTAATAACAAGATATCATTTTACCAAAATTATACTGCAGTGAGTGAATGAAAAGTTGAATGCAAATGTCTCCTATCAGTAGGAGAAAACATAAAATGCTCCACTAGATTTGCATCTACACACCCTCTTCCCCCCTCCCAAAGAAAAGCCTTCCATTCTCAGTCAGAAGTATCTATTAAAATCAATAGGCATAAAATTTGTTTGAGATTTTAAAGTATTTTTATTCTCTCTAGATGAAGTTATCCTTCGCCCTCCTCCCCCCACAGTATCTCAGGCTTACAACCCAAATCTGGGTGGAAAGAGGGCCACATTTCAGTCGGTAACCTCGCTGGTCTCCCCAAGTCTGCCAGATTAAGAAAGCTACAAACCCGTTCACATCAGCTCCAGCTCCCAGTGGCTTTCATTGAGCTGTTCTTATTTATGGTCAGTTTCAGAACCAAACCTGTCTCTTGGAAGGTCTGCCAAACGTGGGGCGACAGAGGTATCTTTCTCTCTTTCCTTTTCGGCCCCACAGCTTATCTCTGTCTCGGTTTCCGAGAAAACCAAATATCATTAGGTTTCTAAAAATATTTATCTTGGAACTCTGGGGGAATTCCTAGTTGTTGAGAAACGGCTGTTTTCAAGAAGCCAGGGAATAAATCTCCAGATGATGTGGGGGTCCCCTAGCAACGACTGTACTCACAAAGTTGCCGGAGGTGAAGCAGGGCCGACGGTGGCCTCCCTGTTTAGTTGGGGGACTGGAGGGAAAAATCATACCAGGCAACAATCCAAGAGGAAGCTTGTTTGAGGTCCGGTGGGAACTGAAATCCCCGAATTTCATTCACCAATCACATCAACACTCAATGGAGGCACCTAGAAGGCCAGACGAGTGGTGATTTAATATTTATCCCCATGAAATATATAAAGATGTCCTCACTCTTGCTGGTCCCTTTGAAGCCTGTGTGAAAAAGGCTGAAGTGTGAGGGCTCAAACTTTTGCTGCTTTTTAAAATACTTATAGCTACCCAAGCCACAAATGATTTTCAATTTACTTATTCAACCGCCACTACGTGCCTGCTCTGGGCCAGGCACGGTGCTAGGCACAAGAGATTCAAAGCAAAAATGAAATAGTCCCTGCCTTCAAAGAGTTTACATTCTGTTTGGAAACATCACATACACAGACAAGTAAACACAAATAAATATAAAGGAATTGAGTATGGGCAATAGCAACAGGGAGGCTGGATATTAAATATCTTTATATATATATATATATAATATATATAACTTTAGATTATATTAGATTATATGTTAAATATCTAATATATATAATCAGCCTGGAAAGATAAGTTGAAGTCAGATTTTCAGCAAAGATAATTAAAGAAAATCCTTCACAATGGCTTTCACCCCTCCCCCTTTCCCTTTTGTATGAAGACGTTACCACAGTCTATTTCCCTGAGACCTTTGCTTTTGAGAACTTATTGCTGCCTCCTGACCTGCTGTGAAAGTTGGGAAGGGGAGGAGGGTGAAATGGGTAGACAGAAGAGGCCATGGGCCATCTGTAGATCCAACTAGGGACTCTCCAGTCTATCTGATAGCAGTATGAATTATAAGTATTGGGGCCCAAAGTGTTTAGTTATGGTTAATTTATAGCTAAACGCACTGGTATTTAGTGGAACAAAAAAGGTCATTAGTGTCTTACTAGGAAGCAATTAAATTAACAGCTCGGAGCCATTCATCAAATCACAAAACAGATGCTAAACTTTTCTGCAAGAAATCAGACATATATATATGAGTGTGTGTGTGTGTGTATATGCATGTATGCATTTACACACATACATACATGTATGTAGATGTGTGTCTGTGTACATGTGTATGTATGTGTATATATGTGTATACATACCTACATAGTATATATGTAGCTAGATAAAATGAATACTCACTTCTCTCAGAATCTCTCAACAAAAATTTACTCTCCTTACAATTCAGTTAGATGACCTCTAGGATGAGAGTTAATGATTTTAGTTTCAAATCTTGGCTCTACCGAACACTCCTTGGTGATCCTAGTCAAGTTAATTCAAAACTCTGGGCCTCAGTTTCCTCATTTATAAAATGTGGAGACTGGGTTAGATGATCTCAAAGGTCTTTTCTAAGTCTAAATGCTATGACTAGGGTTCAAATCCCAACTCTGCCACTTACTACCTCTGTGACCTTGACCAAGTTATTTCATTTGTCTTGACCTCGGTTTCCTCATATATATAATGAGGAGGTTGCTGTAGATGGTCCCTAAGATCTCTTCCAAATTGAAATGTATCATCTTCATTCTTGGCCATAGTCAAAGACTCTCCCCCAGTAGAATATAAGCTCCCTGAAGGCAGGAACTGTTTTATTTTTTACTTTGCACAATACACAGCATACAATAGGTGTTTAATAAATGCTTACTTAATTTATAGAATGCATTTCGATCCATTTTCAAGTCATACTAAGCCCATAGGAAAGCTACAGAAACAAGCAAGAAATACTGACCAGATCTGAGTCTTAACTTTTATCATTCTGCCTTCAATCTCACATCAAACAATCGCAATTACTCAGCTAGTATTTGCCATTTTCAGTCAGTCAAAACATAAGTAGTTAATTCCAAGACTGGTACAAGAGCTGGTCACTTTGTGTGACTACAAGATATAACAGTGATGAAACCTGGCATTTATGTACCTGACCAAAACAAAAATTCAAGTTTCATTCGATACTGATTTTTGCTTTTTACTTTGTTTTGCATAGGGGAAAAAACACATTTAATTTCTTTGAGAATAAATTTTAAAAATTTTATTGTTTTTTTTGGTAGGGAGGGCAAGACTGTGAATTTATTGGCATAAATGTCTTCCTATGAGGAAACCCCCAGTAATTTGTACTTTGAAGGCAATAATATAAAGGAGAACAACTTGGACAGACTTTAGAACTCTCTCTGATTGTTGCAGTAACCAGTCATGACTCCAGATAAAGAAGCGAGCATTCCCTTTTTGGCTGATGAACTAGATGGGCAGAATGAGACACACATTTTCAGGTATTATCAATGTGTGTGTTTGTTTTTGCTTGACTATAATTATTTGTTATAAAGGGTTTTATTGAGGGGAGAAGAGGAAGCACAAAGTCATCAGCCTCACTCTCTCTTCCAGTCATCAAAGTCCAGTGGCAAGACAAAAGTAAGGACAACTGGTCATGGCACAGGATGCAGTGGGTGACTTTGGCATCTTCAATGTCTGACCAAGCTCTTTGGTTTCCACAGCGCCTGCTGTAGCCACCTTCATGGCTATTGGAACAAATTGTTCTCATCTGCCCATTCCACCAGGGTAAGTCTTTACATGCTTGGGGTAAACATCCTTTTAACTTACCTGCAGGTTTGAGGCCTGTTGGTTACCCCCTGGTTTATCCTGTCTGCCAAGACGGTCTTATGAGGGTGTAGCCACTGCTCATGCTACAGCTTTTTTTTTTTAAATGAGGCCATTGGGGTGAAGTGACTTGCCCAGGGTCACACAGCTAGTAAGTATCAAGTGTCTGGTCTGATACTAGATTTGAACTCAGGTCCTCCTGACTTTAGGGCCAGTGCTCTATCTACTGAGCCACCTAGCTGCTCCCATGCTACAGCTTTCTGGAGCCACAGGTGAGAGCTGGACACCGAAGGGGGATGAACAACCCTGAAAAGAGGTTGGTGAACCCTCACACAAGAGGTGCTGGTCCTCCCTGAGTACCCCGTGCACCCCTAAAAATAAATAGAAGGAAATAGAAGGAAGTTCAGAAGGGGAAACAGATAAAAATGGCAATGGCAGTACTATCCTGCTAAATTTAGTAGATATGCTAAAAAAATGAAAAAAAAACTTGTAATTAATGGAGTTCATATTCAACCTTATTTCTTGTTCTTTTTTTGCATGTGGAAATGTTCATATTTGTTGAGTTCAGAATAAAAATATTTTTAAAGGTTAAACAACCTGGTGAATGTAGTGGGTGTAGAAAACACATCCACACAGTCAGACCAAGAAATGCAAATGAATCACCCACATGGCTCCAATTTGTTGATTAAATGCTATGTCTTATAACTTGCTTTGGATGATTGCTCCAGGTCCTGAAGAGGCATGGGGCATTTAAAGCTTTAAACACCAATCTCTTCCTTTATAAAGAGTCTAATGGGATCAGATTAGTATACATTTCAGGAAAATCCCTGCCACATCACTACTAAGTACAGCTGAACAATGCAAGGCATGACCAATTTTTTTTTTTTACTTCCTAATTCCCAAAGTCTTGCATGCACACGGATACACACACACACACACACACACACACACACACGAAAGAAAAAAAAAGGAAAAATAAAAGAAAGAAGAGAAATTGCCCCCTAAAGCCCCAGGTGTGGTTTTTCTTAGCTTGCATAACTACAAATGCAAACAACTCTGAAGCTATTTTGGTTTGTACACTGAAAATCTCTCATCCCAGGAGCCTAAACAGCTCTGGACCATTTGAGGTAATCGTCAAAACCTTGTCCACCCAGGCTAATCTTCCCGTTGCTTTCCACAGATTAAAAAAACTTGCTATTGAACCTACCCTTTTAAGTATAGGAATAGAATCAATGATTTTGAATTATGTGCATGTATTTCCTCCTTTAGTTTTTGCTATTACCCTACCTAAGGAAAGAAGGAAGTCCCTTTCAGATTCACACATTTGGACAAGAGAGAAGGGATCGCTTACGTAAATGAGCACTCTGCAGGATGTCAGAGTTGCAGCTAGAGGCATGTACCTGGCATGGAATAAGAACCTCCATAAATAACTGCTGACTGATTGAAAGACCGGGGTTATTAGAATATCCAAAAACATCTCTGACTACATGGAGGCTATAGCCCTTTTCCAAAAATATCTCAGCAACACCAGTTTCCCCCATCCACCTCAGCATTTAATGCAAATGGTCAACTGGTACGATGAAACCCCTTTAAAATGCTGCTGTTGAGTGGCAGCTAGGTTGCACAGTGGATAGACCTCCAGCCTTGGAGTCAAAAGGACCTGAACTCAAATCCGGCCTCAAACACTGAACATTTACTAGCTGTATGACCCTGGGCAAGTCACTTAACCCCAATGCCTAGCCAAAAAATAAATAAATAAAGAATAAAATTAAATGCTGCTGTTGGGAAACAGGACTAAAGTTCTCATTCAGGCCAACTTTTATCAGTCATTCACAGAACACTAGATGCTGCTTTTTTGTGGGAATGAGTTGACTCATAGCATATGCCTTCCCAAATCATGGGTTTGGTAATAGTGATGGTCTTCTGGAGATCTAGTCAGATTAAACAACTAGGTATTGTTTTAAAATGTAATCAATCTATTGTATGAATGAATGAATATAAAAGCTAAGTTCTAGGGATTCTGATTTTTTTTTAAAAGTCCTTGTTCTAAGGGGCTTATATTCTCCAGATGGAGACAACACCTATGGGAGCATTCAACTAAGGACAGACAGAAATGTCTAGTAGTCTTTAGGGTGCAGCAGAATGGCACGTGGCAACTCATCTTCTTTACTATTATTTCCTTTGATAGAAAGATACTTATTTCTGATACTGGATCATTTGATAATGGTAAGGACTTTTGTGGCAAGAATTTTATTTTTTGGTTCCTTAATAACTATGGCTACTGAGAAGATGGAGGCTAAAACACTTTCTAGGTTGTGTCTCTACAATGGAAGCAGGACTAGCGGCCTGGGGTACTATCCAAGGGCTCTTGGCCGCTTCCACCTGGGGCACCCACAGAGTATATCCACAGAATGATACAATCTCTGACTTGAAAGGCATCTTAAAGGTCAACTTTACCAAATTCAATTCAATTCAATTGGACAAGTGGTTATTAAGGACCTACTCTATTTCAGACACTTTACTAGTCACTTGAGATAAAAAAGGAAAATTGAAACAGTACCTACTCTCATGAACCTTATATTGGACTAGGGGGAAACAGCATGTGCATAGACAAATAAATATAAAGTGTATTTAAAGTAAACGTAAAGTAATTGGAGGAAGTTCTAACATCTGGGGGAATCTAGAAATGGTTCTTGTAGGAAATGGCAATTAAGCTAAGCCTTTAAAGAGATAGGCGTTCCAAGAGGTAGAGATGGGGAAGGAGAGCAAGTATGAGCAGGAGGTCATTCAAAAGTATGGATATGAGAGATTGGCTATCATGAAGGGCGACCCTTGAGCAGGTGAGTTTAGCTGGAACATAGAGTATGTGAGGATGAGTATTGTAGAGAGCAGTCTGAAAGAGAATGTACTCAACAATAACCCTGATAAACAAGGATCTAACCAAGACCTCTGGTGAGAGGGAAGTCCTCTTCCTCTTACGGTAGCCCATCCCACTTTAGCATAACTCTAATGAAAAGTATTTTTTTCTTACATTTCAATCTTTGCTTGAAGACTGGTATAATGTCCCTCCCACTGCCTCTACATCTCTTCTGCATGTCTAATAGTCCCAGTTTCTTTAGCCAGTTGGAATATGGTTTCCAATGCTCTCACAACCCTCATAGCTCAACTCAGTTCACATCCTAGTTTGTCAAAAACTTACTGAAAACGTACTTCTCTAGAACAAAAGAGTATCTTTGAAATGGGTCTGACGGGAGCAGAGTATAGCAGGATGATCACTTTCATATTTCAAGATATTGTATATCTCAAGATCACATTTGGTTTCTGTCCCCCAATTCAACGAATTTTTGACTCTGGCAAACTTGCAGTCTACTTCAACTTCCTAGTCTTTTTTTTTCACATAAATCGTCTATTAATACAACTGATTTATTTTAACCCAAGTATAAGGCTTTGCATGTATAACTCTTGAATTTCATCATTTTGTTTAATCATAGAATCTCAGACTTGGGTGGGAGCCCAGAAGCTATCTACTCTAACCCATCTCTGAACAAGAATCCCCTACATTTTTAAAAGATCAGTGACATGATTCATCAATCACATCTTCTGGTTATGATAGGAACCCTGGGATGTAATTAATTTAGGCCTGTTAACTTGAACACATTGAGGGCAGGCCCCTTACCTTCTTCTAATATATCTTGGGTTTCAATTCTCCATTAACCATTGTCATTTTCTCCTTTCCAATATAAAGATGTTTTTTTTTTTCTTTTTGGTAGATACAGGAATAAGGATTGGCCCTCTATTTATTGATATAGGGAAATTTCAGATAAGGAAATTTCTTCTACCAGTGCAGAATAGCACATTCTCTGTAACTTATCATCTTAATTTCTGAGAGCACTAAAACGCTAAGTGCCTTACCAGAGTCACATAAAGAATATGTGTTAGAGAGAGGGCTCGAAACCAGGTCTTCCTGGTTCTGAGCCATCTCTCTAGCTACTATACCAAAGCTTGTTCTCTTGGCAGAGAAAATGGAAGCAAAATCAGGGTTTAAAACTTCTGCCTTCTTACTGCTTTCTATTATCATAGATCTAGATTAACAGATCTTATTGCTAATTTGATCTACCTCTTTCTCCCAATGTAGTTTAAAAATTTGTGACCTTTTTTTGTTAACCTTCACCACCTGTCTCGACTTATTCCTAGTTTTGTCTCTCCTGCCACCATTCTTACAGAACTATGCTATTCATTCATATTCACCCTTTTTGACTTGCCCTTTTTTTTTTCATTTTCCATGTACCTCTTTTTTAAATCTAAGCTCCTTGTGTATTCACATCATTCTTTTTAGACAACTCTTCATCCTTTTACTCATTGGAATCATTTGTTTTTGTCTTCAGAATTCCATCCTTAAGAGCTTCCAATCCCATAAGAAATGATGAGCAGGAGGATTTCAGAAAAACCTGTAAAGACTTACATGAACTGATGCTGAGTGAAGTGAGTGGAACCAGGAGAACATTGTACACAGTAACATTGTGTGATGATCAACTATAATAGACTTAGCTCTTCTCAGTAATGCAATGATTGAAGATAATTTCAAAAGACTCATGATGAAAAATGCTATCTACATCCAGAGAAAGGACTATAGAGTTTGAAGGCAGATCAAAGCATACTATCTTCATTTTGTTGTTGTTGTTTTTAGTTTTACCTTTCTTGTGGTTTTTCCCTTTTCTTCTGATTCTTCTTTCATAACATGACTGATATGGAATTATGTTTAACATGATTGAACATGTATAACCTATATCAAATTGCTTGCTGTCTTGGGGAGGGGGGCAGGAAGGGAGGGAGGAAAGAAAATTTGGAACTCAAAATCTTACAAAAATGAATGTCAAAAACTATCTTTACATGTAATTGGAAAAAATAAAATACTATTAAGTGCAACAACAATAACAAAAAAAGAGCTTCCAATCCCTCTTGAGCTGGCTTCCTCAATGGAATTTTCACCCTCTTTCTGCCTTTCAAAAGCCAAATGATTAGTTTTAGTCATGTGTCAGACCCTGGACAATTTCCCACTCTTCATCCACACTACCCTAAGCAGCATTCTCAACCTGGAAATGTATCTGTTCCTGTCACCCACTCCTTTTATTAGTGAGTTCCTGATTAGAACCACTATTTAAGAAAGTGCCCAGGCCATCCATATTCATTTCTATCTCCCCTCCTGACTCTATAGACTTTTCTACTTTGCCCCCATGCAGGTACCCTCTATCTGCTATGTTTCAGCTCTCCTTTATGTGGTATCTTTCCTTATTAGAACGTAAGTCCTTTGAAGGTAGGTATTGACTCTTTTTGGCTTGTATTTGTCTTCCCAGGTCACGGCATAGTGTCAAGCACATAGCAATTTCTTAATAAATTCTCTTTTCTCTCTCTTCTGTGTGTGTATATATGTGTATGTATATATGTATGTTTATACACACCCACATATACATATGTATATATATGTACATATATCCATACATATATATGTCTCGATCCATCTGTCTAGCTATCTAAGGTAATATGACAGTGTAGATAGAGAACATGCCTGTGATCCAGGAATACTTGGGTCCAAATCCCAAGATTAGAAATTCCATGTCTGAAGTATCCTGGCTGTGTGACCTTGGGCAAGTCACTTAACATCTCAATCCTCCAGGCAACTCTCTAAAAGTATAAATTCCAGAGAAGGTACATTTGCAGAATTTCTTCATCTAGAAATGTCCTACATCATCCCTGACAACAACAGCAACAATAGATCATATTTATATAGCATCTATCATGTGCCAGCTAAGCACTTTACAAATATTGTTCCATTTGATTCTCACAACAATCTTTAGTAAAAGGGGCTATCATCCCCATTTTATAGTTGAGTAAACTGAGGCAGACAGAGATTAAATGATTTGACCAGGTTCACACAGCTAATAAGCATCTGAGATGGAATTTGAATTCAGGTCTTATCAACTCTAGACCCAACATGCTATCCACTGTACCACCTAGCTGCCTCTTAATGATACTTACTCAATGAAATCGTGGAACTAGGCTTTATCTCTTGCTATTACAGGCTGTAAGGCAAAATAACCATCCTTACCTCTACTATTCACCCAATTCAATAAACACTGAATACCAAAGGCATGCACTAAGGAATGGCAATGAAAAGTGTTTTCTTTTTTTTATGACACAGTTTTTGTGATTAACAAGTTCTAGAAATATACTAGAAATTCTATATATATTCACTGATCTCAAAGACAAACGTAATGACTTTGTTCCATCTTTGTTACTATCTATGGGACCTTTTCCAAATCACATTTCAGGCCCTCAGTTTTAGTGGCTATAAAATGAGGAGATTAAATAAGAAAGTGAATACTAACTTAATTTATATAGCATTTTAGGTTTAAAAAGCATCTTACATAGTTTATTTTATTTTATCTTTACAATAACCCTATGAGGTAGCTTCTATTTTTGTCTCCACTTAACAGATGAGGAAACTAAAAATGAGTGAGGTTAAGTGACTTACTAGTTGTCACAAAGCTAGTAAACATCTGAGGCAGTATACAAACTCAGATCTTCTTGACTACAGCACCCTACCCACTCTCCCACCTCCTAGCTGCCTTTTTCACCTCTGAAAATTATGATATTTAGTAAAGATTAGATGACCACCTTTCAGGAATCATGTAGAGAACTTTCTTCTATAAGAATTAGTTATATTAGACCAACTTTAAGGTTCCTTCTAATTCTGAGATTCAGTAATTTTAAGTTGGTGGAGGAGGAAGCCTGGAGGCCTCAATAAATTCAAACGATTTTTTATTTTTAAAAAATCAGTATTCAAAGAGCAAGAAAAAGACAGGTACCTTAATCTACTGTTGATGGATCTGTAAATTGGTCCAACTATTTGGAAAGAAATTTGGAATTATGCTAAGAAAGTCACTAAAAATGTCCTTATCTTTTGGGCCAAAAAAGATCACTGGTGGGCACATAGCTCAAAAAGATCAAAATCAGAAAAGATTTGATATGTACCCAAACATTGATAGCGGCACTTTTTGTAGTAACCAAGAACTGGAAATAAAGGAGGGAAACAGTGGAAACAAATTGGGGTAGATGAATGTGAAGAAATATTACTATGTCAGAAGAAACTATGAATGTAAAGAATATAGGAAGGAATGGAAAGACATGAACGGATGCAGAGTGAAGAAAGAACTGGGAAACAAAATACAGAATAACTATGATGATGGATATGAGGATAACAAAAAAATCCAAACTGAATTTGTGTAATTGTAATGATCAAGCTTGACTGAAGGAGAATTATAAGAATGTACTCTCTTCCTTCTTTGCAGAGAGTAGGATCACTCTGTGTATATAGAACACTGCATATAATGTCCAGTTTGATTGATGTGTTAATTAGTTTTGTGGAACTGATTTTTCTTCTTCTGTTACATGAGATGGCTCTTTGAATGGTGACGGGGAAAAGGCTATGTTGGGAAATGAAAATGATAGAAAAACAAAAGATATCAATAAAATAATTTTCAAAAATCTGTCCTGACTTTGTTTTTGTTTTGTTTTTGTTTTTATTCTCTACTGCACCAGTATACTAGCAATTCTAGAATAGATACTTTTTTCTTCAAAATGACCTATCAAGGTGAATGAAAATCACCGTTTGATCATCAGAGGATATTTATACTTGCCTCTTTTGTCCTGTGTGCTCCTTTGAATCTTATGCTCTTTTCCCTTTAAAAATCACAGACATGTGGCTTCAGAGCTGGAAGGGTGCTCACAGGTCATCTAGTGTAACCCTCTTACTTTACAAATAAGGAAACTGAGGTACAGAGAAATACAGTGATTTGCCCAAGGTCACTCAAGTAGTAAGTGGCAGAAATGAGATTTGAACTAGGTCCTCTGACTCCATAGTCTATACTATTTTCCCTGCTTCAAGACTCTGTTTTAACATTTCATCCTTCACATGAATGCCAAAGAGATCTTCCTAAAAAATAGGTCTGACCATGTCATCCTCCTAGTCAATTTACTTCAGTGGCTGCCTATGATTTCTAGGATCCCACACAAACTCTTCTGTTGTTGTTGTTGTTCAGTTGTGTCCAACACTTTCGTGACTCCATTTAGGGTTTTCTTGGCAAAGACACTGGTGTGGTTTGCTGTTCCCTTCTCCCATTCATTTTACAGATGAGGAAACTGAGGCAAACAGGGTTAAGTGATTTGCCCAAGGTCACACAGCTAGTAAGTATCTGAGGCCAGTTTTGAACTCAGGTCTTTCTAACTCTAGGTCCCATGCTCTAAGCACCATGCCACCTAGCTGTTCACCACAAACTGCCCTGCTTGGCATTAAACCCCTTCACCTTTCCAAGTTTATTATACATTAGTCCCTTTCACCTACTTTACAGCCTAATAAATTAGCCTTCTTACTGTTCCTCATCAATAATCATAATAATAAATCTATCATCTCCCATCACCATGTTTTGGCATATACTGTTTCCCATGCCCAGAATGTATTTCCTTTTCATTTCCACCTCTTAGTTTCTCTCAGGGTTCATCTCGAATGTTTCCTCCTATGTGAGGCCTTTCCTGATGTCCCAGGAAATCCACATGCTATGATGGATAGAGAGTCAGCCTCAAAATCAAAATGAAAACCTGAGTCCAAGCCCTGACTCCAACACATAGTAGGCTAGTCACTTAGCTTAGCAATGTGCTCTAGGAAACAAGATATTGTAGAGAAGGAGCTAATTTGAATTGATGGAGGGGGTTTACTCCCCTGGGCCTCCCCTAAACCAGTGAAATCATATATCTGGTCCCCATTCCTCTATAGGGGAGATGTTTCATCCCATAGAATGTAAACTCTTTGAGATCAGGAATATTTCATTTTTGTCTTTGTATCCAGGCATATAGACTGAACCATAGTAAGCTCTTTAAAAAAAATGCTTATTGATTGATTATTTTTTTTTTGTGGAGGGGATTTCTTTGTATCCCCAGAGCTTACCACAGTGCCTGGCATACACAGTAGGAGCTTAATAAATGTTTATTAATGGATTGGTCTTGAATTTCTTTATTCATTTTTTCCTCTTTACCTTTCTTTGTTTGCTCAGAGCTTAGCACAGTGCCTGGCACACAGTAGGAGCTTAATAAATGTTTATTGATGGATCAGTCTTGAAATTCCTTGTTCATTTTTTTTTCCTTGCCTTTCTTTGTACCCTCAGAGCTTAGCATGGTGTCTGGCCCATAATATGTGCTTAATAAATGTTTGTTGATTGATTGGTCATGTATTTCTCTTTTTTTCTCTCTCCTTGGCCTTTCTTCATACCTCCAGAGCTTAACACAGTGCTTGGTACATAATACATGCTTAATAAATGCTTGTTGATTGTCTATTAACATTCCTTATACAGAAATATCCACATATATAAATTGCCAATAAAGGAAATTTTAGAACATTTGAACTTAATGTTTTTAACATGTTAAAATT